AGATAGATAGATAGATAGATAGATAGATAGATAGATAGATAGATAGAAAAAGATAGAAAGAATGGAAACACAAAGGCCTATCACTCCCAGAAACAAAATAACCTATATCTTTTTCACTATTCCGATTTGTGCCCTAGAAATGCCAATCAGCGAGGAAAAAGGGCCAGCTCCGGTTGCATAACGTCTGCGCAATCTTTAATCCGTTATATGCATGAGGCAGGGATAGCACCATGAATAACAATCCGCTTGATCCCGCCACAGCCTCAGCACGTGCGCATACGTGACTCCTGCCATCAGGAAAACAGGGATAGAAACAACGAAAGAGACTCACTATTTCAGTTTTGTTGTCTTCTTTTTCATCTAATTTCCCATCCAGGGAGTTGGTGGGGGCTGACCTGTTTTTTTTATTGTTTGTTTGTTTGTTTGTGTTTGCTTTTTTTTTTTAACTCTTAGATGTGCACTGATAGAAATTCATGGAATATGTCATGGAAAAAATAATGCAACTGATAAAAATAGATTTCCTATCAATCTGCTGAAAATATTGACATTTGAACAGTTTTGTATACATTTGTATGGATTGCTGTACCTATTTTCTTATGTTTTATACCAGACCATTAACCTGACACAGAACTTGTTTAAAATTGGATCAGTTATTTTACTGATTTGATTAACTTTCTCCACGCTTCGATAAAAGACTTTCTTACTATAGAGCTCTAATTATTCAAACTGGAACAACAGCTCTGACTTTTCCCAGTTTTTTCCACACCGGCTACTCTCACATCTGTTAAACTGAACAAAAGTTTGACTAAATAACCAGGTGATTGAAGAAAAACTCCATATTTATACTCTCTAAAGAGTTCTTATGTAAAAATAGAACAAATATTTTCGCTTCACAAGGACTTTTCCATGTGTGATTACATTTTCTTCTTTTTTTTTTTACAGGGGATTTATTAAAGCAGATAAATAATACAGAATAATTGAACACATGAGACATGCCCGGTTTTGCATTCTCAGCAGCTATTTAACGGCTTACCAAGGACAGCAACCAACATCTGCACTACACCAGCAGAAGGCACTGCTGGAAGAATGGGTGTGAGGACAGAGCGGAAGCAAAACACATAATGGCCAACAGAAGGGAACAACGCTACAATCTGGGTTTTCATATGTAATGCTGTGAACCCTGTTGTGCATTTGTAAGCCCCTGACCAGAGGGGGAGCGTACTGTAAGAGGATGTGCTCGGGTAGCTGGTAGCTGGACAGAAAAGGCAGGTTTTTTTGCG